TCGTGTGATTTGAAAAGTCCCCTGGGTGTGCAAAGGAAGGAGAGCTCCCAGGAGCCCAAGAAGAAGGTGCAATGCTGTAAATGAAACCAGCTCCTATGAGAGAAAAGGCCTGTTGTTCAGATGGAAGGTGTTTTTAAAAAGCTTATAGAATTGCACAGGATCAGAGAGCATTCCTCCAGCTGCATGAAATTCAGCAGGTCCGTGCTTGATTTAAGAGCAAGAGCCTGGCTGCTCAGCATTCCCTGCCCTTCTCTAACTTGCCACTGAAAGGAGTCAACTTGACACTTAAGAACCTCTGCCATAGGAAACACTTGGATGCTCCTTGTCCACCGGGGTGGATTAGTTCTATTTATACAAGTTTAATCCTTTGTCATATGAAACAAGCAACACTATAGCTGAAAACAAAATACAGGATTACCCTATTAAAATGGTGCACTGATTACAGGCACTGCCACTTCATTCCTCCTGTGACTTTCTTAACTGAGATAACCAGTGGTTTTTAGGTAAACTGGAAACCTCACCTTATTTTTCCATACTATCCCAAACTGTTATGCTGCTTTGATGACTTGAAGGGAATTCTGTAGGTGTTTTCTAAGGCATTTAACAGGACTTAACTTAAAATCCTGAAAGCCTAGGGGCATGGTAAAAAGAAAAGGAAATGAAAATAGCAGCTTGGGATTTTCAGTATGTTTTCCTCTTTAATTCATAAAGAAACTGTTAGTGTTATACTGACTCCTGGCTGAGGACTTGAAGATTTTTTTCTGTTGCACTGAATTTACGCTCATGGAGGAACAAATTCTATCATAAAAAAATAAGGAATTTTCTCATTAAGATGGATATAGCAACGTCAAAGCAATCTCACACATCCTGCAAGATCAGAGCTTTGCACAGGAAATATCCCCTGCATCATATCTATCATCTCTTAACAGACTCCTCTGACTAATTACAACCATTATTAAAAATATGGAATATGAGCACAGTGAGGAGCAATTGTATATTCACAATCTTCAGTTTGTTTCTTAGTAAAAGAACCTTCAAGACCATCTTTAGTTTCAACAGCACAAAGATCATTTTCAAGTGTCAGCATCTTATCCTGGGGAGGGACTGCTAAGCAAAAACTCGTGTAACATTAGTAGATACAGCATTTATCACTGTAAAATTCCCTGGAGAACTTCTCAGCATAGACATACCGTGATGGGGGCTATAGGTCCAAGATGTAGGTCACTGGCTTTTTATCCTACAAACCACTCTGTACGGGACAACCCACCAGCCTCCCTAAACAACCTATTCCTATACTCTCACCAGGGTAGAGGCTGCAGGAAAATTTCAAGTCTGCTTTTGATTTACAAGCAACTCCCTATCTCTCCTGCTTATTAATGCCTCTGAACAGGAACAGACTAGGGTTTTTCTTATCAGACAATCCCTTGAGTGCTTTTGCATTGCTCAGATTTGACAAAACCTGGAAGAAATTAAAGGAGCTGCCCAACTACAGTACCCTCAGTAGGCCTTAAGTGCCAGACTTTTGCTTAGGCTTGTCTTTCACAGCTTCAAAGCAAAGTGTGATTCTTTCTGGAGCCCAGCTGTGCATGTGAGATGATTTTTTTTGAGCAATAATACTAACCAGAAGTACATTAACTTCTTAAGGACATACTAGCTTCTGAAATAATCAAGCGATGATTTGGACAACCCCTTCACCTGGTAGGGGATTTTTATAGAAATTTGCACTTCCCCTTTTCACAGCCAAAAGGACAAGTCAGTAGTTCTTCTGCTAAAAGGAATAGAGTGCAACTTACAGACATGGAAAATGCAAAATGTATGTGGATGCTATAATTGCCCCGTGAGACACCCCATTACTCCTGCTTGGGGTTATAAAGAGAGTTTAAACAAGCAAATCAGTTCAGAAGGTATTTTGCAGGCAGACGGGCAGCTGGGAACCAAAGACTAACAATTCCAAAACTCGGTGTTCATGTGTAAAGGACAGAAAGGGAGAATACTACTTGTCTCATAACTGAAAGATTGGATTTCTCTTTTCCTGTGCATTTTTAATGTGCTTACAGGGTTTCATGAAACAGAACTCCCCGGGCAGGCCTGGGGGAACAAGGAAGTTGTCTGTGCTTGGGAACTGCCAGAGTTACAGCTGTGCAGTAGATGGGAAGACGTGCAGACGTGGCACCAGTCTCCCATGTATCACACTGCCATGGAGGACTCAAGCTCTCCGAGCCCTTCACACAGATGCGGATTCCTGATGAAGGTGACCCCACCAGCTCCAAGGTAGGCTGCCAGGGCAGTGGAATTGCTTCATCAGAGAAACATATGGTCAACTTTTTGTATCTCCTTGCCAGGTGTGATACAGTTGTTACAGGTGTGCTCCCTGTGGTGAGCCAGGGCTGGCTGTGCACCATCCTTTTGTAAGGGATGCCATGAAAACCAAATGCTTTGGGCAGGGAGTGCTGTGGCACAGTGTGCTGCCAAGGCCACAGGACACTAATCCTCTGGCTTGCAGAATCCTTCACCCAAGTACAGAAACTGGGACTGCAACTCCAGAAAACGCACATCTGAAGCATCCCTGAGAGCTTCAAGCTGAATTCCTGATGATCTGACTTCTTGCTCCCTTTTCAAAGCCTCTCCTTCGTTTTAGTGTTCTTTTAGCAGAGCCACTGCATAACAGAGTATAGATCAAGTCTCCAGTGTCAAAACTGGTCATCTCTCACATTTGTGAAAGGTGTGGATGGCCAGCAGGGTTGGAACAGAAACAGGATCTTTGAACCCACCTAAAGTCAACTCAGCTCTGAGCCTGCTCATTAAAGACTACATTTTTCTAGTGAGAAGGCTGTTGTATCAATTTTGTGCCAAATCAAGGGTTTGATTAATCCTTGTTCTGACTCAGAGCTCTGAGTTCAATCAAGCTATACAAGTCATGAATTTAGTTCTTAACTTTCTCCACAGAGAATACTGGTTTGGAGGTTTTTTGATGCTGCTTCAGTGAACCTCTCAATTTACAATGCATCTTGCTCCAGCAAAGCCTGCAAGCAGACGCATGTGGGAAGTATGTGAGAAACTCCTGAGAGAGGAACTGGACCGCTTCCATACTAAAACCATCACCAGCCTCTTTCACCTGACATCCTTGCTCCTGTTTTATTCAGTGGTAAACAGAGTGCTCCTCCTTCAAGCATTTGGCTTCCCACAGCTGAAATGATGGCCAAAGCAAAGACTCCCACTGCCTTCCCTGGAAGCTGAATCTCTGCCATGGGTAATGGTTTGCCCCGATGGCAAAGGGGGGGTTTAGGGAGAATGAGACAGTGAGTCCATCCCTTCTATAACAAACACGTCCACTGTGTCCAGCTCGACTAAGGACTTTACCAGATATGAGTGACATCTGCTCCTGAGCCCTGCCCAGAGATCTTACTACTTAACACTGGTTACTAGCCGACAATTGTCCCTGCTAACTTCCACCAAAGTGGAAGTCCCTCCAAATTCTCAGAAAAACCAGACTTGTAGCCCCTGCACATATACTATGGCCAAGATTTTTTTCTCTCATGCCCTTTTTTCAGGGCACATTTTTGATGCACCTCATCTGACTTACATTTCTCTCTTCCAGGCCTGCTCTGGGACCTTACTGGACATTGCAGCACCTTTTTCTCATGCTTCTTTTCCATTAGGGGAACAGTTTGGTTCTGGCTAGGGACTTACACTTTGGCTAGTTCCCAGATCTGTTGCACAAACAGTACCTGTTCTGGATTTCACACCAGAGTGATAGTTTGTCTGAAAGATCCCATTTGCCATTTACCCTACTTTTGCTAGTTTTCCAGCATACATCCTGCAGTGTCCCTTCCTAGCTCCACAGAGCCAATATTCTGATCATACATAGCAAGGCTCCCACATGCTGTCCCTTTTTAAAAGCCCAGTTTCTCAGCAAAACTTTTCAGCCAACATTTGATGAACATCCTAATTATTCTTGCCACCTTCTGCAGTGAGAGTAAACAAACCCTTGCATCAGTTGATGAGCAAATTTACATTTTACGGAAGGATCTGCTATGCAAGATCTGTCAAAACCTCTTTCTACTTCTCCTTCATTTGCCCCTCTTAGCAAACTTTCAGCCTAGGGAAGGCTTAAATAATATATCTCCAAATCCAAGGAGACAATGGTAAAGGGTTACTACAAGTCACTCTCTTCAAACACCGAACAAGAGACTTTATTTAAAAACAAATAAAAGGCCTAGCCTCCCTACTATACTCTGTCTGTACCCCCTGGAAATTGCCTGCCTGGAAGCTCATGCAGCTTCCTGGAGTTTGCCTTTCAGAGCAGACATCCCCACAGGGACGATCCCAGGATGTCTTTCCCGACATCTCAGGCCAAGAAGCACAAGCAGCATGTGAATCCTGGCCGTATACTGCTCCAGCTCAGCAGGAGTGGCCTGAAAAGGACCATGGCTTTGCTACAACTGCTTTGTAGCCCCAACAAGCAAGCATTTGGCTTGCCGTGAGCCATTTCTCATGCACCCTTTTCCTGCCTCCTCCCTCAGGCACACTGCTTTCACATCAGAAATACTCCCCCAACACTTTTGGAGTTTCTTTCTTACACAGCCTCTGCAAGCCAAGAAAACTGCTCAGATCTATTCAGTAGATTCATTCCTGGTAGTCTTCAAAGGATTGCTAATTCCAGCCTCCTTAAAAAAATGCAGGGCATTCCTCCTCTTACAGCTTTTCTGTCTTCCCTTCTTTCTGTAAGTCAGCACCTGTTGGGCCATAAAACAACAGACCAGAAACACAGTGCACCTGAAACTGTCTGAAGCTTCAGCAGCTTCTGCTATGGGCAGGCAGACTGGACACTCCTTGGAAGGGCAATCCAGCTGCCTATGCAAAACCAGCTTTCTAGAGGAGAGTGGTTCACCCCTGGCTGGCTTGGATTAAGGGCTAACAAGGGTTAACAGTGTTTGCTCCTCTCTCCATCGCACCCCCTCCTCCTCCTCCTCACTGTGCATTTCAGTCAAAGACCTGCTCCCTGGCCAGCCACTGCCGGGATTAGGCTGCTCCAACAGTCTGGCTGACACTCTGTGCAGGAGCAGGGTCCGGGGGTCTGGAGGCAGCACAGGCGAACTGCTGCGCAGTCCTCCAGCAGGAACTCTAGAACTGAAGCAGTAACAATCACCATTCTGAAGATTTTAAAATTATGCAAGTTTAAAACAACCTTTGAAAACACCCAACTTAAGAAAATACCAAATTTCTGGTGGTGGTGTTGTTGTTGTTGTTTGGGAGTTCCCCCCCCCCATCCTTTATTTTTTTTGTACTTTTCTTGTAAGGCTGCAAGTATTTTAGTTACTATGCCTGCTGAGGAGCCATATGGAAAAATCGGTTCTCTCCTCTTAAACTGGTTGCACAGTTTTGATTTTCATGTGCCTACAGAGATCTGAAAAGTCTATGTCGTTTTATTTTATGCTTTTTCGGCAGAGAGGGCAAGTGGTCTGTGGATCATCTGGCCAAGAACACAATAGGTAAGCACAGTATTTTTTTGTGTGACATATTTCCAAGAGTCTGAGAATATATTGTTTGTGTAATTGGGTGAAAATTACCACAGTCTTTAGGATGATGTTCTCTTTGGGATAAGCTGATTATAGGTTTGTTGATCACTTGGTTTGTTTGTTTTCCTGGACAAGAAAAGCTGAGCTGCTGTGGTATCAGTGTGGTTTGCAAGATCCTGTCATTTAAACAGCAGAAAGACTTTTTTTTTAATCCTCTCTGAAGGGGCAGAGCAACTCAGATTCCACTGTCAAAGGTAAAACAAAATATTTGGGGTTATATTTTAAATCTGTAAGCTATTATTAGACTACAAGAACAACAAAGTGGCAAAGTGACTCAGAGTCATAAGGAAAGCTCTAAGAAAATTAAAAATGGAATTGATATAGAAATCTTAACTATTCTTTCAACTTGTTCAGATGAGGGTTTTATCCTGCCTTCAACCAGGTGCTAAAAATGTTAAAAACAGGCAGAAAATATATCAACTTTATTTGGATGTTGAGAGGGACATTCAGATGATCTGGCAGTGATAATTTCCATAATAATCTCACTGATACTAAAGATGTGCTTTATTTTGGGAATCACAGATTTTGTACACAAGAACCTACAGATGTATTCAATAGTATGTTTAAATATGCATGTTTGAAATGGCTTTAAAAAGGAACAGGTCCTTTTATAATGTCACTTTAATTACAATGGACAGAGGGTCTGTTGAACTATAGATTTGACTGCCTGAGATGTTCTGCACATTTGCAGGCACCATGAAGAAAGGGCTGATCTCAGAAACAAGTAAAAATTACAAAGAGCTGAGCCTTTGTCTTTTATGTTCTTTTCTATCATTAGCCAATAATCATATTTAACCAGGATATTTACTCTTTGCTGCTTGTAAGATGGAATAAGCTACTTTTCCCTCAAAAAAGGGATCTTGCTCACAGAGCTCCCTCTGCTTTCCAAATCCCTGAGCTACAGCTGGCACCTGTGTTAAAGGTCTATGCCCTTTCCACTTCCATACTTTTCTTTTTCTGAAGCTGGATGTGGCAGACAAAAGAGTTCTAAGTGTAATCAGTAACCTCACATAGTAGTGTACTGTCAAATTCCTTGTCCTAACCAGAGTGTCCTGTCTGTGTGGCTCTGGGCACTGTACACAACCTTTTAAATAATCTCAGAAATAATGTAAGCATTTGCTGATGATTTTGGGGACTGGTTGTGTACTTTTCTCTCATAGATGCCAAGCTGATAATAAAGCCTCCTGGGAACAGGGACACACTGATTTTTTAAAAATCTTTATCAGAGTGAGTACAATATAGTTGTTTCTGTGAGCAGAAAATGCTGAGACAGACTGGAAGTGATGCAGGTATGAAAATGATGGGCAATAGAAAAATCTAAGAACAAGATTACTGCCCTACAGTAATAAAGCCTTCCTCCAAATGAGATACACAAAGTGCTTAGAATCTCCTAAGTGTCAGTTTAGGCATTCTTACCCAGGATTCTGCACCCTTCATCTAAAAGTATCTTACACAACTCTCAATAAGTCTGATCCTCTTCTCTACACACAGAGAAATAAAAATTCAATGCTCTCTAACCGACCAGCAGCAGCAGTGTTTGGGATGTGACCTCCTGTGAGCTTGAAAGTGACAGCTCCATTACAAACAGCTCAGCCCTGAAATTTAGGAAATGAACACTATGAACTACAAAAAATATTTCTGATGTAATTCTTCACTCATTCTTTCAGCAGTAAAAGATTTTTTTATAACTGTCTTGTGATATTGTACCTGTGCTACATTGACCATATTTTCTACAACAAAAGACTTCATAGCAGCTTCTGCCATTAAATATTTACAGAGAAATCCTCTGAGAAATATTTGTGTGAACTTTAAGCAATTTAGCAAAATGGAGACTGGTACTCTATGAATGCCTGACTTGCTGTGATTATGATAAATACCAGTAAAGGCATAGAAAGTGTCACTGACTATTTTATCCCCCATGACAGCAGTTTCTATTCACTTTTGTCATCTCACTTTGCAGTACTGAAGATGTCCTGGTTCAGGTTTTATCTGCCTCTCCATGTTCTCATGGCAGCTTGCTTGTGCCATTCCATAAAAGCACCTACCACCAGTTCCCAACAGAGCTTCAGGACTGATCTCTTCAATTTCTACCACTCCCTGATACTTGCTGATGGTAAGGAAACTACAGTCCACCTGATGAAGGATATACCCAAAAGGTAAGAGCAAAATCAGCCACTCCTGTTCTCAAAGACTTCCTTGTGGCACTGGTAGTTGCACACTACCAGCACGAGCCAAAAATCTCTATGCACCTGCAGAGCTGTACCAGTGCACACTGAATTTACAGAAGAAGGCCCATTGCTCAAGTGTCATTCCATTGCCCAGAATCTGGAATGAGCCTCTGACATGACGTTTAGGTTCATGTACACATCTCAGGCAGCTTTCTGTGGTGTTTGTCAGAGCAGCAGCACAGCTGACACACAGTGGGTGGGCTCCAGCAGCAAACAGTTGTGCCACAAACAGCCTGGCTTCAGGACTGCAGAGATATCAGTCTGCATTTTACCTATATGCATGGTAAAATACAATTTTACCTAGCAAATTAACTAGCCCCCAAATCAACAGAATATCTGCACAGACATCATCTCAGAGAAACTTCTGCCAGTGTCCTGCATGCTTGGAAGTGGTTTTGTTGGTAAGACCAAAAGCACTTTGGATGTGAAAATTCCACAGATTCTTTGTTTCCCCAAAATATCTGTAAAGTTTTCTGCCATACCTGGATATGTGGGTGATCTGGTTATTACAACTGGTGCTGTATATCTTGGGTAGCAAAGATCAATCTGCTTGTTTGGGAAGAGAACACTTGAAGGGGTTTAGTCAGACTCTATTTTGGGCAGTGACCAACACATACAGATTTTGACATAGACCCAAGTGGTCATGGAGCAGAGGGCGAGCCCAGATGGTTCAGTCTTCACATGAATTGCACAGACAGAAACTGGAACATGGCAATATGTTATATAATGTGATGATGCTCACAAGAGCAAGGAGCTCTCCTTGTTAAAGGAAAAGGGACATTGAAATCTCAGAGACAAGGGAATTTTTCTGTGCTCTTACGGCATATTACAACTGCAATTAGGAGGCAAACCCCCTCAAGTTTAGCATGATCAGGTAAGGTTTTTATGAACCCCAGCCATCCAAACAGAAAGCCAAGAGATGGCAAGTTTTAGCTTAGAGTAAAAGAGTCAAGAATGTGGCCCAGTAGCCATATCTTGAAAGTAAGCCAGACCTCTAGGCTTACATGATCTATCCGTAATGACTAGGCTTGCTTTACTAATAAACAAAAAAAACCCTTGAATTGCCTTCATTTAAGTGCAGAGTGAGTGACCCAAGTCCAAACAGTTCTGTGGCCATACACAGTCTGTACAAAACCAACAGAAACAGAGTGAGACAGGAGGTTGAGCTTTTTTTAGGCAGGAATCAAAGCTGACCAAAGACAGTGATGTCACTTTGTACTGCTCATGCATAGCAGCCTTTGACATAAAGGCAATTAAGGTAGAACTGGCCTGGAGGAAACTGCCATTTACATCTAAAACTGTTCAGGACTGGCTAAAACCAGTCTATTACATCTGCTTCCTCTGACACCCAGGAAGACCTAGATATGCAAGCACACATAAGGGAGGATAGGGTCTAAGAGCCTTCACTAAACTCCAGTCAGGAAACCCTGGGCATAAGTGTACCAAATTCCATAGAGTTAGGTAACGGGTGGTTATCTAGAAGGCAGTTCTATAAACCATATCCATCATCCAAAATAACCAGCTCAGGACTGAGATATGATATTCACCTCAAGTGTGCTAAAATTCAGAGGGAAAAATATTGCCTAAGATACATGAACAAAGCTTTCAGCAAATATTAATCATTAGGGGAAAACAAAGAAAACCCACAGCACGTATTCCTCCCACAGCTGAAGATTTCAGGCATTCACATCCCTTTGTGTGGATGCACCTCAGAGAGCAACAGTCATTTCAATACCACATCAGAACAGCTGATTACAAGGAGTCTCGTGCAAACTTGAACTGCCTGACACTTTCCCTCTTTCTAATCCACATTTACAGGTACTACTTTGTTTTGGAAGAAAGCAGAGTCCTTTCACCTTTCACAATAACTGTGACCCCCTGTGATGTTCCCATCGAATGGAGCATACTTGTGCACAAGGCTTCAGCAAGTTTGCCAGGAAAAGAAACACAAGGTAAGCCTTTCAGCACACAAAGTAAGACCTCTGTCAAAGCAGAGGCAAAGAAACTATAAGTTACTCACGGGGAATTGTGTCACAGGAAATTCCCCACAAGCCTAAACATCTCACACTTCCCTCTCCTGCAAATTGCTGTGGGCTCACCCTGTTTCCATGGATGAAACATGGGAACCCATCAGATTTTGCCCTCAATTCAAGTAAATTAAGGATTATATGTGAAAAAAGTCTACATCTAAGGTTAATATTTGGGAACAGCTGTGGGTCTTTGAGGCTGCACACAGATCAACTCCATAAGCTCTTTGTACTGGGCCAAATTTGGCCCTGCTGCCTTAGCTCTTTTTCTGTGGCTTGGGTCACTTGAGACAGTCATTTGCTCCCCACAGCAAAGCACAAAAGATTTATCCATTTCTTCCTCTAGGATTATCATCCATCATGGCAGTGGGCATTACACTACCAGTAGCCTAAAAGGCAATTCCTTTCCCTTGTATGACCTTTTTCAATTAACATTTCAAACTAAGAATCTGAAAGCTGCCATTAACAAGTCTTACCTGTCAAGCAGGTACACCTGACCGAGTTCAAATTACGCTCCCATGTTTTCCTTCTTCAAAAGAGACAATGGCACAAAACTAATCCAAAGAAAACTCCTATTCTAGAAAGAGTGAGTCTCCTCAAAGTGAAGTACCCTAAGGGACAGCTAATGGAAGAAGAAAATTGTAGGGACATCAGGCATGATACAAGTTAAGCTTTTGCAATCTGTGGTTTCATAATAACAGTGTTTTTGAAAACGTAATTCTACAGCTGCACAGCAGAAATAAAAGCTTCTCAAATTTTATTTTAATAAATTGCCAGTAGCAACATACTTTTACTAAAACATATTTTTAGTCATAATTATTGTTTTCAAGAAGAAAATATGATGTGCCCTAACATATGAACAGTAGAACTTATATGATATGCTTTATTTCACATTGGTTAAAACAGAAGTTACAAGTCTGCTTTTTGCCTGCAGGTGACCATGATACACAGGAGGTCTCAAAATCTCAGAAGGCCCCAAGCGTGGTCTCCACCATTTTTAACTACAAGGGAAATTCTGTAGAGACTTACATGGGTATGTCTTCTCATTCTGCCCTTTACATGCTGGAGTTCTTATCCACTGAGCGAGACACACACATTACTGTGTACCTAACGACTGACACAACATCTGGGCACCTCTATCCTGAGCTTCCAATGGATCCACGCATAGATGTTATTGGAGTTGGGCATACAACTGTGACTCTGACCTGGAAACACAGTCCTTCTGTCCTGCAACATAGAGAAAGCATCCAGTACTGCCTCCTAGTTAACGAGAAGCACAACTACAAGAGCTTATGTGCTGCTGAGACAGCAATCAGGTCCTCTGGAATGAAGCTGCCACCTACACTGGCTTTGTCCCTCTCTCCGTACCTTCTCGAGCCGCAGCAGGTGATGATACTGTCCAACAGTGAACTGAGCATCATCAACAAAGTGAGCAGTGGGGAAGTCCGGCAGATCTGCATGGGCACCAAGAACACTTACACAGTGCCCAACCTCAGCCCCAGCACCCAGTATTACTTTGATGTTTTTGTTGTCAACCTCCTCACAAATGCCAGCGCCGCTTACACCGGGACGTTTGCAAGGACCCTGGAAGAACCCGAACCCAAGGTGACCGAGCTGAAAGATGGGAAAGTGATTCAGGTTGTCCTGGATGGGCAAAAGCAGAAATCCTACAGCCTGCAGTACCAGGCGAGGCACAAGAAAGTGCAGTTCTCCTTTCAGTTGTGTCGTGGTCAAGTACGGGTTCACATAACAAGGAACAGCAAAACGGTGGCATCGGAAAACATCTCAGGGCTGAAGTATTTCTCTCTGAAGGGAAAGCTGCTGGACACGTATCTGGTGCAGCTGAGGTCCACAGAGGAATCTAACTCTTCTGTGAAAGTTCAGGTGTCCCCGCATTTCCACAAGCCTTTATTCCCACTTCTTCCAGAGAGCTTAAAAATCAAGTCCTTCAGTAAACTGAGAACCTGCAACTCTGTGACCATTGCCTGGCTGGGAACACAGGAGAAGAGCAAGTACTGTGTGTACAAGAGAAGGATTGAGGAAGATCAGGTCTGGAGGGAACTGCAGAGTGCAGACAGGTGCTCTGGACCTGAATCTCGGCACAAATCAGAGAAAGTACTGTGCAAGTATTTCTATGATCTGAATCTCCAGCGAGCCGTCACCACAGAGACCATCAAAGGGCTGGATGCAGGAACACTTTACTTGTTTGATGTTTATCTCTTTGGGCCATCTGGCATCCCTGTCAGATATCACAGCAAAGTTGTGAAGACCAGAAAAAAATGCTGAAGGTTTTAAAGACAAGTTTTGAAGTGAGTGAATGAAGACTTCTCAAAATCTACACCAATCCATGTCATAGCCTGTGCAGTTTAAAATATACTGAGACAGAAAAAATAAAAAGCCATGAGATTCTACAGAGAAAAAAAAAATCTTAGTTGTCTAGACCATTACACTTACTTTTACATCTCCTCTCCTGTGTAGGGTGAGGTTTTTTCTTTTCCTATCTCATTCAGACATCAAAAAGAGACCTGTGAAACAAACCCACGTATGTGGAAATAAAATACCCTAATGGCACCTATGAGAAATAGATTGGTTACCTAAAATGCTTCTGAAATCCAGTACAGAAGTGCTGGGAAATGCCTCACAAGAAGCACACATTATTTTCAAATCCCAGAGAGTTTTTCCACTTTCTGTAACTCACTGAAGTAACGAGGAACTGAGAGACCCCACAAGGCAGGCTACTCTTGAGAAACTGAACTTCCTCCCTGCTTGAACAGAGATGGAAACAACAAGAAATTAAAAGAAGCAGTGCAACTGGTGTAAAGCTCCACACCTCGAGTGAAGCAGGCTGAAATACATCTTCCCCTGTTACCCATGTGTTTGCTTGGTTTCATTTCTATAGAGAAACTGTGCTTGATTAGAAACACAAAATTCAGGCCAGGAACTAGCTCTGGATCCAGCTTTTCTGGGGAGTATACAAACACACTGCTGTGCTGCTGCCCATTGAGGAAAGCAGCAAGTGGGGAATTCTGCCACGGAAAGAAGATTTATCTATAACCTCAGATATCGAGCCCCTGTCTATGACTGTGTGACTCCTGAGTGTAATATATTCATCTTTAAATGAGCCTATATCAATTAATGCATTGCTTTGAGAAAAACTAAATGTGGTTTTCCTATTAAATACCATGGAGGAAAAAAATATTTGTAGTAAAAATTCTGACAAACACTTCTTAGTTGCCTTGTTTCATTGATTACTTTCCTTAGATGACATGAGATAGTAAAAAAAAAAAAACTGGAAAAAATTAAACCCCCTTGTGCTCAATGTCAATTATCAGCAGAAAATATTTTGCACACAGGCTCTGGAATTTACATATGAAGAAAATACATAAATTATTAGTTCCATTATTGTATATTTCAGAAGTTCTCTTGCAATTCAAGGCCATCAAGGTTCTAGTTTGAGCAGTTATTGCCTCCAAGCATGTTTGGAGGCCCTTGGTAAGGACTGAAATCAGTCCTGTGTGCAGACATAGAGGTTTGTGTGTTCCCTGCTCCAAAGACCCTCTACCCTGTGCACCCTGCACAGCACACATCACACATTAGCAGACTCTTCTACCCCAGATGAGGGGCTCAGGCCTTCACAGGGGAGCAGCTGCAGTATCTGGGCTTTGGCTGGGCTTTACATTCCTGCAGGCACCTCTCTGGACTGAGCAGTGCCACAGCAGGAGCCACGTGCTCTGCAGCCTCCTGTCCACACTCCACAGGCCTTTTGGCTGATTACAGGGGCTGGCAGCTGCACTGCCTTCATTCCAAGGCAGGCCTCCTCTTCATTTGGCTCCTGCCAAAAATAATCTGAGCTAAGAGGGCAAGAGAGGTCATCTCCACTTGGAAGTCTTCATGTTTTCTGCCTTCCTCCTCCATTTCAGGCATTTATATGCTGGATGAATTTCACTTAGATGCCCTGCAACTGACTGTAATAACCATGATAATAATAGAGGAGGAACAGGAAGATCTGATTAACTGCAGATACAATATATTCTTAACCCACTGCCCTCAATCAGACCATTAACCCTTGCTTTAGCCCTCTACAAATGCTACAAAAATGTCACTTGGCTGAGGAAGATACATCATCACATTGTTCAATATTTGTGTTTCTACTGAAGGTTTTTTACAACAGAACTGGCTTTGGACTTCTCAGCAAAAACTTGGTTTTGTGCTGTAGCCAAGAGGTCCAAGGAAGGTATAGGAAAGCCTGGCAGAGGGCAGAGAACTTAGAAGTCAAAGGTGACACAGAAGCAAAGGCTTGGTGCAGCACCAGGTTGACTGACAGTTAATCAGAACCTGGAGGGAAAGAGTTCAGGTTTGGAGATCAGCAGATATTTCAGGGGGACTTTGAAAAGAGCCAGAAGATTCTCTTCTTCACTCCACCTCTCCCTGGTCATTGTCACATGCAGAGGACTGGTTGAGGCAGAGACCAGTAGGAAGCTCTGAAGACCAAAACTTACAGCTCCTGTGCCCCAAGCAGAGCAGTGACCACTGCAGCTGCTGGGAGGGCTGATGCCAGTCCCTCACTCAGGAGGAGCTGCCCGCCACACGTAGTAGGCACCCCATCAGCAAAGGCCCCTGTGCACAGGAGAGAGAGCCTGGATGTAGGGAGGAACATGCTGTTCTGTCAAGACTTATTGTCTCTAATATAAGCAGAGCAGGCAACCTGCCCTGCAGGTGACAACCCACTTTGCTTATGTGTGCAGCCAGCCATGCCCTGTAATACAGGCCCCAGGAGCAGCAGGGAATATTCCCCTCTGTTGATCTTTCCACTGTGATTCTGCCTGTGTGCACCAGGCTGCAAACCTGATATCAATTCACCCATTACCCTGCTTATGGGGCAGCCTTTGGGTGCACTGGTTTCAGTTGGGTGTCACTTTGCTGACTGCTGTCCTGGAAGTTTGAGAGGTTTATCCACAACAAAACCAAAGGTGCTGCTCTTCTCACCCCTACATAAGCAGTTCCTTAAGTGCACAGCTCCCCATCTTCAGCACTCAGCAGTTCTTTTCTTTCAAAGCAGTTTGGCATCTTTAGTTTTTTCTCTTCACATTTGACTAGTCCCTTGACTATTGCAGTCTGACCATAAACATTTCCCAAGCCACATTTACCTACTTTCTTGTCTTCATGCTTTCAGCAGTCCTTGCTCAAGTTCCTTCAGTTCAGCCTGTCCTAAGCTGTCACCAGCTCTTCCCATCTGCTCCCCCCATCCTTGCTGAGTCTGAGTCACCTCAGAAGTGCAGACAGATCTCTTCATGGAGAACATCTCAAAATGCTTTGCTCTTGTGGATCATTTAGTGTAAGTTGTCGACATTGTTATCAGGCCAAGGTATTTTTTCTGGTGTTCAGTAGTGGGTCCCAGCTTTTTTGTGTGCTTCCAGCTAATGTATCTCATCCTGTCACAGCCAAGATTGAAGGCCATGCACCTCTTTCCAATTTTTACAGAGTTTCTACCACTGTTTCCACATGGGAAGTGGGGATCAGGGTACCAAAAGCAGAGCAGATAAGAGAAAACAGGTTTCATTACACATCCACTTCCCCTGTGGGTTCAGCCTCACAAATCCAAACTAGCACTGGTGAAGTGAGGTGCTGGTGTCTGAAGCAGTGAAATAATAGAGCACAGCCTAAAGTCTGCCATTGTGGATGGCTCTTGGCCACACACCAGTACAGGTAGAGGCTCTTCAGCATCCCCTTCCAGGGTTTCACACAACTGCTACTGATACAAACTTTGAAATATAACTTAACACAGTAATAATTGCTTTCTTAATTTATACACTTTGAAAGATACTGCTATCTGAAACCAGTGTAGAGGTTTCTAACACTGGGTTCAAGGACTAATGACATTTATGAGTTAATATTTAACTGACAACAAGAATAATCTATTTTGTCATTCCTTTTCTCTCCTGTAATTAACAGCCCATTTATTCATTCATTCCCTATTACTTTGAGTTTCCTAACAAATGTAAATACCCTTCAAAGTGAATCTGGAAGTTCTTTAAGAAATTGTTCCCCATCTGCCCACATTGAGGGATACATTCACAGCTTTAAGGAATTTTTTTTTTCCCCAGTTTCATCTTAGTATCTTTGCATGTTTTTTCTGTCTAACGCTTTCCCACTTGGAAGACTTCCTTCTAGCTTAAGCAACATGTTAAGATAGTTCTGCTATTTTGGCCCCAGGTGCTGGAGGGAAATCCTGCTCATGATTTGCTTTCATACACAGAGCTGATGTTGGTTTATATGTATACACATCACCCCCAGTCTGGGCTCCATTATTATTAGCTGTTGGGTTTTGTGGGTAGAATTTAGGAACCACAGACACTGCAGTTAAACATCTTGGACACATGTGGCTTTGCACAAGGCTTAAAATCTAATTTTGAAAGTCAAATAATATTAGCACTTGACAGCAAGTCCAAGCCAATGACCCCAAAATGCCAAAGGCTTTCAGGTGCTCTTAGAGAAACTGAAGCTCTCTGGCATTTAGAGAAAAAATGAATAGCAGCTGAGTAGCCATTCAGCAAAATAACCCATCCAGGCAAAACAAAATAGATGGTGTCTTTAGGGATGAAGATGAACAGAAGATGCACAGCTGCTCATCAGTGTTACCTCTCCTGCACACACTGGATTGAGAAATCAACAGCATAACAGAGCACAAACAGGGCAATGTGCTTCTCTTGCACAACAACAGGTATTTCCTAGGCCAGTCTGTCAAGGAATATTAAATAACAGCATCGTAAAGAGCAGCTAAATTTACTAGAAGAGGCAAACAACAAGTACGTCTTGATCCTGCCTTGCATTCTTCCGCACAGAAACACGATGTAATTCAAGGATAAGCCCAGAGGACACTGGGCTAACAATCACCTCTGGCATGAGCCGCTGTCGCTCCAGCATCGCCGGGATGCTGCCGGGAGCTGGCCGAGCATCCCAGGCAGCACATGGAATGCTGTGTTGCCGCCAGGTCTGCGGGCACGAGAGGGCACTGTCAGGCTGGATGAGAAGCGGGAAAAGCTGACTTGATAAGGCTTATCAGGAGCAAATATTTCCACAGATTTAACAAGTCGAGCATCTTTTTGATAATATTATGAGGCAGAATGGATGGAAGGAAAGTCCAAGGAGCTTACATTTTATTTCCTTTTAGCCTTTCGAATCTTCCAAGTTTGATGGGTTTTTGTTTAAAATTAAAGTGCAGAAAAAGTGACAACCGAGGCACAATAAAAGGTAGGAAAGGACTGCAACAGCAGTGCTCCCACTGAGGTGTTCAACACTGCCAGTACTGATGGGACTAAAGCAGCTATAAAACAGAAAAATACTGTGGTGCTGAGGACAGTTACAGAGTTCACGAGGTTTAAGTGGGGAGTGTTAGTTCAGGCACAAACTGTCCAGCAAGTTGTGATCCCCATGACAAGTCCCTATCCTCTCCCTATCCTGAGGGAGATTCTCTGGAATATTACTTCCCTGTCTCACCAATTTAGAGATTCACCCCCCACCACAGCTGGATGTCCCATCTATGTGTATAGATGGGGCATGGGAAACAGCACTGTTTGACAGGGACTTGTTCCTTGGGGAATTTGGTCACTGACCTTGTAGCCCCTATGAGAGAGGAAGACAGGGACTAAGAGCCATCCCTAGAAAACTGCATCCCCTGACCTATGCTGCTTTTGCACTGAGGAAGGTTCTCTGAAATTCTGCTTCTCTACCTCAGATTTACAAAAGCATTTGAACAAGGGCAGCCTTGCCAGGGCTGAGAGCAGAGGAGACCAAGAGAGTAAGCACCAGAGGCTGCTGGGTTTTTTAGCAGGTATTGGTATCAGTGACACAGGAGGGGCTTTGAGAAGGTGACCCAGGAGCTCAGTTTCAAAAGGTTTTTTTCAGACTGCCGTGGTAATTTGCTCTGAAAGCAGAACCCAGTAAGAAGAGAGACCACCAGGTGCTAGGGTGAAAGCAGAAGAAAACCATGAAGAATCAGAAGGTAATGAGGTAAAATTTGAGTTTGTTAGAAGCTTTCAAGGAAAGAAAGGGCCCACATTTGGCACCGAACTCCTATTTTTGCAAGTCACCTACTCAGGAAGCCTTTTTACCTGGACAGACATTTCTCCAGAATGACACTCATTTTCAGAAGGGCTCTGCAGGAGCCCTGATAAGGGCTGCCAGTGGGATACATCAGTCCTGGCCCTTCCTGCAGCATTTTCCAGG